CTTTGTTTGGCTTGGGCTTCTGAGCCTCATCTTTGGTGTGACACACAAGTATCTTTGAAGAAGAGCCTCTTTGAAGGCCAGGAAAGGGCTGTCATTTCAGGAGATGGTGAGTAATAGGACTCACTCCTGTCTCTGAGAACAGAGGCAAATGCCTCTACCTCAATTTTCCCATGACAGAGATAATTTGGTCTTTCCAAATCTGTTCACATTGATGCAATTCAGCCATGCAAATCACCAGGTGTGCAAGCTCTCTGGGCTAAAAACAAACTGTAACTAATGTTAACAGAATCAGGCAAAGGAGTCCCCTTTCCCCGGTACCCTATAGAAAAGTGAGTGTGGCTTAGAGAAATGCTTGAATACAAAAATCCAAGCCTAAGTAATTAATACAATTTATTTTTATTGTACAAGCTGTCACAACCTGCTTATTCAAAAATAGCAGCTTCCCAGTACATTTGCTGAGTATTTGTGTGTGTGCATGTGTATACTGTGTTTATAGATATATAACATCAGTGGGTGTGTGTATATATATACATACATATATTTATATATATACATACATATGAATTCAGACATTTTTTCTGAAGAGCTTAACATTCTCATTTCTTCTACATTTTAGGGATCTGGCCAAGAGGCCAGAGGAAGCCATTGTTTTCCTCATCTAGTCAGTCATCTACTTGGCAATTGCTAAGGTTCACTCCATATGACATCTTAGAGCATGGGACTAGTACTTGGAACACAGATGCTTTCAGAGCCTGTGACTTCTTGTGTGCCTTTCCTGTTTCTCAGCAACACTGGCGTAGGGCCTGGGATACCAGGTCTGGGGATCTCAGGGACTCTTAGCACTTTAAGACACATGTGTTCCCAGGCCCTGGTGTGTTCTTCTAGTGCCAGAAAGATGTTTCATGCTTTGCTGACTTTGTATAAAGTCTGTTTGTAGCTGTTTTGACAGAATCTCAGTGTATAACTGAGCGTGGGGACATTAGCCAAGCTGCATTATAGGAGGACAACACCACCATGCAAAGTGTCTAAAATCATGAAGCCTGCATTTTTATTATTGCAAGTAATATCAATCTTCCTATTTTCATTTCTTGTCCTGCGCTAGCTCCCTCCTGTTTGGACTACTCCTCCCATATGTAAACTAAGAAGAATCAAGCATTCCTTGCAACAAATACACACGATGCTCAAAAATATCCAGGAGCATGCAATTTCCAAAGTTTCCTCCACCTGGAATGTTCTTCATGCTAAAATCCTGTCTGACAATACCAGCATCTCTGGCCTGCACTCATCCCTTCCTGGAACTCCTAATGCATTTACCCTCTCTTACCACTTACTTGGCTGCCTGAATTGTTAGTTGAAAATATTAGGTCTACCTAGCTAATTCTTCCTCAGGAAATTAAAGACTCCCATATGGCAGAGTCTGTGTCTTTTCTCTCTTCTTATCCCATATAACACCCAGCATAATGCTGGGCATATAGTGAGTATTCCGTAAATAGTTGATGAATGACTAAAATAAGTAAGCAAACAAACAGACCAGAACAATAAGAAAGAAGAGACTGATTTCATAATCTCTCTGGCTTGCTATTTGAATTGCTGAATTATTATTATTTATTAAATATTTTTAAAATTCTGACAATAAAAGGTAAGGATTTATTTTCTTTCTTTCTTTTTTTTTTTTTTTTTTCCTTGAGACAGAGTCTCACTCTTGTTGCCCAGGCTGGAGCGCAATGGCGCAATCTTGGCTCACGGCAACCTCCGCCTCCCGGGTTTAACAGATTCTCCTGTCTCAGAATCCTGAGTAGCTGGGATTACAGGCATGTGCCCATGCCCAGCTAATTTTTGTATTGTTAGTAAAGATGGGGTTTTGCCATGTTGGCCAGGCTGGTCTCGAACTCCTGACCTCACGTGATCCACCCGCCTCAGCCTCCCGAAGTGCTGGGATTACAGGCATGAGCCACGGCTCCCGGCCAAAGATTTATTTTCAAGGATGAAACAAAGTAAGGATTCTGGGTCAATCTCACATGCTGAAAGCCAAAATCTCTAGCCACTCCTGCTTTTTGACTCTGGGGTACTCACTGTCTCTAAGCCTGTGAGCACCGGGCCTGGCTGGCCTGGCAGAGAGGTTTGAGTGGCATGAGCTACCTACTGGATATGCCTGACTGTTTCCCCTTCTTCTTCCCCAGGCTTGTTAGAGTGCTGTGCAAGATGTCTGGTAGGGGCCCCCTTTGCTTCCCTGGTGGCCACTGGATTGTGTTTCTTTGGGGTGGCACTATTCTGTGGCTGTGGACATGAAGCCCTCACTGGCACAGAAAAGCTAATTGAGACCTATTTCTCCAAAAACTACCAGGACTATGAGTATCTCATCAATGTGTAAGTACCTGCCCTCCCACACAGACCCATCTTTTTTTTCCCTCTCTCCATCCTGGAGATAGAGAACTCTTCAGTACCTTAGTAACTAGCAGGGGACTGGGGTGGAGCCAGAGTGGATTCCTGAGTCTTCCCTCTGTGCAGATCTCTCCTGCTTCACATTCGAAGCCCATTCAGAAAGGACAGGTCTGCCTGCCTGCCTGTCAGCCCCTCCCACCCCCGCCCCTTGTTTTCTTACACGTGTTCTGACTTCTGCTAGATGTAGTTAATATTGCCCAAGTTGGAGCCTCCAGTGTAGTAGGTATGGAGAAGCCAAGGGAGGCACTAAGCCTCTCCTATTCCTAGAACAAGTTAGGCTCCTGTTCCTTCATCCACATTTCTTCTTGTCTAGCTCCCCACTCCTGTGAGGTAGCATGTCTGAAGGGTCGGGCAGGGAGAGTAGGTCCCTGGTTCTCCAGGTCCCAGGGTAAGCAAGGTGTGGTGGGAGGAGCATATGTTTCTGGTCACATACACCCTGTCTTCACTTATTTCAACAAAGATAAGGTGAAAGCATGCAGGAGGAACCTAGTGATTCCTCTGGAGAATCCCTAGCCTTGTTAAGGTGCTCGCTCTGGTGTATACCTCACTTATGTGGGGAAAGGAACCAGGTCTTCAATTAATAAGATTCCCTGGTCTCGTTTGTCTACCTGTTAATGCAGGATCCATGCCTTCCAGTATGTCATCTATGGAACTGCCTCTTTCTTCTTCCTTTATGGGGCCCTCCTGCTGGCTGAGGGCTTCTACACCACCGGCGCAGTCAGGCAGATCTTTGGCGACTACAAGACCACCATCTGCGGCAAGGGCCTGAGCGCAACGGTAACAGGGGGCCAGAAGGGGAGGGGTTCCAGAGGCCAACATCAAGCTCATTCTTTGGAGCGGGTGTGTCATTGTTTGGGAAAATGGCTAGGACATCCCGACAAGGTGATCATCCTCAGGATTTTGTGGCAATAACAAGGGGTGGGGGAAAATTGGGCGCGAGTCTGTGGCCTCGTCCCCACCCAAGGCTGGGTCCTCTCTAGGGGCCTGGCATTTGAGTGAGGAAGCGATGGCTGCAGCCGAACGAGAAGGTCAGGAAGAACGTGGTGCCCAGCTGGCTTAGCCTCACCTTTCAAAGGTTCCCTAAGCAAATTTCTTCTCAAAACGGAAAGCATGAGTTTTGTGGGATGCTTTGTATAACCAGACCATTTCTAAGCCATCTGTTGGTATCCCTTTACTCCCTTCCTAGCAGGGACCACAAGAGAAGATCTAACTGGACAAGAATCTAAAATGTGATTGAGACTTGGGCACCTGATCTGAGAGGGAGGATTGATAATAAAAATTAAATAATTGTCTCCAAGATGAAATTTACAATATTCTGGGATCCTGCGCTGTTGGAGGTCCCAGAGGGCATTGGAGTAGGTTTGCATGTTGAATGTTTTATCATTGCCTGAGGGTTATCCATGCTTTGAGTGAGGCGCACATTTGTTTTCAGTCTCTGGAGTTAAAGATCCTTTGGGGGCTGAATATGTGTGGGTTCTAGCAATGTCTTTTTGTGGCCAGCAGTTAGCTTAGAAAGGTTTTGTATCTGAAATTTTAATCTCCTATTGGCTTTGTTCAATGACTAGGGAACAAAAATGTTCCTGTGGCAAGGAACATTTTCTAAGCTCAGCCTAAGGCACAAAACGGCACGACTTTCTTTCAAGATCTGTTTTGATTTCTTTACACCTTATCTGCCCAAAAACATCCTCTGAAGCCTCTCTAACCCAGGGATCCTCCTCACTCCTCCCCTACCCATTCCCCCCACCCTCCGTCATGCTGGGGCCAGTTCTCTAGTAGATACTGCCAATGACCCTTGGCAGAGGTGCCCTGCTCACTAATTTCATTTGAGGGAGAGCCCTGGAACCTGGTTTCAATGTCTGGCACACGCCACTCCAGGATCTCCCAGTTTGTGTTTCTACATCTGCAGGCTGATTCTGATTTCTAACCACCCCATGTCAATCATTTTAGTTTGTGGGCATCACCTATGCCCTGACCGTTGTGTGGCTCCTGGTGTTTGCCTGCTCTGCTGTGCCTGTGTACATTTACTTCAACACCTGGACCACCTGCCAGTCTATTGCCTTCCCCAGCAAGACCTCTGCCAGTATAGGCAGTCTCTGTGCTGATGCCAGAATGTATGGTGAGTAAGGGCACGGGTGCTTTGGCTCTCCTACTCACTATGGAAGCACTATGTATTTGGTTATTTTCTTAGTGTAAGGAGGGTGGTGATTACGAGAAAAATATAAGATGATGAATGATTGGGTCTTAGTTTATTAATCCTTCCTACTGAAACCAGAGAGGTTTCTTCCCTGGGAAGGGAACTTGGAAGTGGTGGCAGTTTTCTTGGCTGTTCACGTGGACCTACTCTAGTTGACTGCTGGTCCCAACCCCAAAGCAGCACATTTCAATAACAAACACAAGGTTTCACCATTGTTCAATACCACCTTCTCTTTTTTGTAAACCTGTAGAAAAGAGGATCCTGATTGTTGGTAGAATCCAAATTTACAGCCAGGATAATTAGAGATGGAAGAAGGGCTCTGGGGGAAAGTCTCCATGTGGCCCCGTAACTCCATAAAGCTTACCCTGGTTGATGTTTGTGTCTTACTTAGGTGTTCTCCCATGGAATGCTTTCCCTGGCAAGGTTTGTGGCTCCAACCTTCTGTCCATCTGCAAAACAGCTGAGGTGAGTGGGTTATTTGGGTTATTTTACAAGGGAGTAGCTAATACCATACAAATTACACCCATGGTCTTCAATTTTAAGGACTAAAAGTTTCTCTTTGCTGGATTTTGAATTAGCCGATTGCCTTCTACAACATATTGGCTAAGTATGCCTGAGCCAATGAGCATAGAAGGTAAAACACCTGTTTTCCCTAGAGCTGCATAGAAAGACTTCCTTTCCAACCCTTCCCCTCTTAAAAGAGAAGTTTGTAGCTTTAGGTAAAGATAGAGCCTGATGGCAAAATCCCCCACATGAAAATTTTCATTCCTTTAGTTAAAAACCGTATCAAGAAAATGGGCTGTGCACAGAGGCATTCATAGGTTTTATAAAAACATTTTCAGTTTGGAACTTCTTTATCTCAAATGAGAGGTAAAATAAGTACATTTGAAAAGGAAAGCACTGTATTGAGAACAGATATTATATACAAACGAGGCAAGGGGAATAAAAGTGAATCCTGGGGAGAAAGGCAGTAAATTATTTCTTTGAAAGCAAAATATTGACTTTAAATTTTGGACCCCTGGGCACAACTGTAGGGAACCAGTTCATTATTTTGGAGTACTATGCTATTTCATGAGTATTCTGTGTTCTGGGTGTTATGGGCAAGGTACTATGGTGTACACTGAAGACTGGGAAGCCCACATTTAGGGAAGTGAAAACTTAGTTAAAGATGTAGAATTAGCACACAAGAAAGATATCAACACATTCAGAAAGCTGTATTCATGATTTACACTGAGGCATATTATTGCTGTTGCAAGAAACAGTTCTTCCTCTTTCATTTTCCTGCAGTTCCAAATGACCTTCCACCTGTTTATTGCTGCATTTGTGGGGGCTGCAGCTACACTGATTTCCCTGGTGAGTTGACTTTGAATGATCTTGGCAAGTAAATAGGACTGAGATAGTGTGGGTACAGCTATTCTGAAAGGCAAGAAGGTAGACTGCTTCCATCCTTGAAATGCTGGAGGGAAGCTTCTGGGAAAATAGCAAAGGGTAGAGGCTCCGTACTTCTACTTGCACTGGCAAGGCAGAAAAACATCACAGATTAGATAGGAACAAGAAAAGTGGTATGAGGAAAGAGGGGGTAAGAGATTCATAGACACAATGATAATATTTAGTATTTATAGAACATGTAATGTTGCCAAGTACTTTGCAGTCATAAATTACGGTTAATTCTCAATACATTTTGATCAGATCAATGACAAAACACTGAAACATCATGAAACATGACTTGCTATAGCCTGGAATTCTATATACTATCAATATGAATCCACCTTAGATACTCTCCAATGGATTTAGTTACTCATGTGGAACTACTGGGAGGACCTCCTAACATTATTACAATTGTTTTGACTATAATACAATGCTATGTCCCAGGTCTTGCTGATAGTGTTACAGTGCCCTGTGAATGTAGTGTGCTCATTGTGCAGATTAAAAACGTAAGGCACTGAAGGGTGAAGTGATTTATTTGAAGTCATTTTATAAGCAGTGATCAGACAAGATGAGTTCACAGAACTCCTGGCCCCTACTGCTAAGGTTTCTATACAGAGTCAAGTAATTTCTCATCTTGTAAAATAAATTGATTCATTAACCAGGAGAGGGCGGTACTGCATGATGTGGCTGTGTGTCTACAGCAAGCACCCTATGACTCTAAGTCACTCGGACATACGGATGTGGCAAAGCCCAAATATTGTTCACTTCCCTGAGGAAAACTCAGTGCTAGATCAAACAGAGGTGTTGAATAAATCTTTATGATTTGATTCTCTGGGCCTGGGCCGTGAGACACATCGGACTTCCAGTCAAGTGTATATGGAGAAAGCCAAGCCTGGGATGTACTATTTTTTGCAGAGCAGGAGTTTTTCCCTTATTTAGTTATGATTTTATTTCTACCCTTCCTCATTCCCAAAGGGATCTGAGGAGGGCATTCTTTCTTTTCTACCCTCATTCACATTCTCTCTTCTGTTCCCTACAGCTCACCTTCATGATTGCTGCCACTTACAACTTTGCCGTCCTTAAACTCATGGGCCGAGGCACCAAGTTCTGATCCCCCATAGAAATCCCCCTTTCTCTAATAGCGAGGCTCTAACCACACAGCCTACAATGCTGTGTCTCCCATCTTAACTCTTTGCCTTTGCCACCGACTGGCCCTCTTCTTACTTGACGAGTGTAACAAGAAAGGAGAGTCTTGCAGTGATTAAGGTCTCTCTTTGGACTCTCCCCTCTTATGTACCTCTTTTAGTCATTTTGCTTCACAGCTGGTTCCTGCTAGAAATGGGAAATGCCTAAGAAGATGACTCCCCAACTGCAAGTCACAAAGGAATGGAGGCTCTAATTGAATTTTCAAGCATCTCCTGAGGATCAGAAAGTAATTTCTTCTCAAAGAGTACTTCCACTGATGGAAACAAAGTGGAAGGAAAGATGCTCAGGTACAGAGAAGGAATGTCTTTGGTCCCCTTGCCATTTATAGGGGCCAAATATATTCTCTTTGGTGTACAAAACAGAATTCACTCTGGTCTCCCTATTACCACTGAAGACAGAAGAAAAAAGAATGTCAGAAAAACAATAAGAGTGTTTGCCCAAATCTGCCTATTGCAGCTGGGAGAAGGGGGTCAAAGCAAGGATCTTTCACCCACAGAAAGAGAGCACTGACCCCGATGGTGATGGACTACTGAAGCCCTAACTCAGCCAACCTTACTTACAGCATAAGGGAGCATAGAATCTGTGTAGACGAAGGGGGCATCTGGCCTTACACCTCGTTAGGGAAGAGAAACAGGGTGTTGTCAGCATCTTCTCACTCCCTTCTCCTTGATAACAGCTACCATGACAACCCTGTGGTTTCCAAGGAGCTGAGAATAGAAGGAAACTAGCTTACATGAAAACAGACTGGCCTAAGGAGCAGCAGTTGCTGGTGGCTAACGGTGTAACCTGAGATGGCCCTCTGGTAGACACAGGATAGATAACTCTTTGGATAGCATGTCTTTTTTTCTTTAATTAGTTGTGTACTCTGGCCTCTGTCATATCTTCACAATGGTGCTCTTTTCATGGGGTATTATCCATTCAGTCATCGTAGGGGATTTGAAGATCTTGATTTGTTTTAGAATGATGCACATTTCGTGTATTCCAGTTTGTTTATTACTTATTTGGGATTGCATCAGAAGTGTCTGGAGAATAATTATTTGATTATGACTCTTTTTTAAAATAGGAAAATTGGACATTAAGCATCACAAATCATACTAAAAATTGGCTAGTTAAATGAATCTATTGGGATTTTCTATAAGTATTCTGCCTTTGCAGAAACAGATTTGGTGAATTTGAATCTCAATTTGAGTAATCTAATCGTTCTTTCTAGCTAATGGAAAATGATTTTACTTAGCAGTGTTATCTTGGTGTGTTAAGAGTTAGGTTTAACATAAAGGTTATTTTCTCCTGATATAGATCACATAACAGAATGCACCAGTCATCAGCTATTCAGTTGGTAAGCTTCCAGGAAAAAGTACAGGCAGAAAGAGTTTGAAACTTGAATAGCTCCCAGATTTCAGTCTTTTCCTGTTTTTGTTAACTTTGGGTTAAAAAAAAAAAAAGTCTGATTGGTTTTAATTGAAGGAAAGATTTGTACTACAGCTCTTTTGTTGTAAAGAGTTGTATTGTTCTTTTCCCCCAAAGTGGTTTCAGAAATATTTAAGGAGATGTAAGATCTTTACAAAAAGACACTTGATACTTGTTTTCAAACCAGTATACAAGATAAGCTTCCAGGCTGCATAGAGGGAGGAGAGGGAAAATGTTTTGTAAGAAACCAATCAAGATAAAGGACAGTGAAGTAATCCGTACCTTGCGTTTTGTTTTGATTTAATAACATAACAAATAACCAACCCTTCCCTGAAAACCTCACATGCATACATACACATATATACACACACAAAGAGAGTTAATCAACTGAAAGTGTTTCCTTCATTTCTGATATAGAATTGCAATTTTAACACACATAAAGGATAAACTTTTAGAAACTTATCTTACAAAGTGTATTTTATAAAATTAAAGAAAATAAAATTAAGAATGTTCTCAATCAAACATTGTGTCCTTTGAGTGAATTGTTCTATTTGACTTCACAATAGAAACTTAATAATCGTACCTTGTTCAAGGAGCTCATTCATTTTTCAGGTCATCCAAGTCATTCTCATAACATTTCTCTGAAATAAATAGTAGATGAATAGATTACTTCTATTTTTATAGTTGAAGACACTAAGAAATAGAAGCAAAGTAATTTGCCCAAAAAATTCAATAAGTACATGTCTGAGCTTGTGTTAAAACACAGATGTTGAAATCAGTTTATTGCCTACTTAAAGGTTTCTTTTCTCTTCGAAGTTGGATTTTAGAGTGTTCAGAGTCAACCATGGTTACTTTGTCAATACCATAGTGGTGCCCCAGTTCCCGGTGCATTTAGATTTAAGTTATTGTTACCTTCTCTTTAAATGGTTTGGATATTCCAGTAATTATCCCTTAGTAATTCATACGTGACTAATATTTAGTTTTATTTGAATAGTACTGGATGGAAGGTTGAGTACTTAAAGGACAGAGCAGGTATGTAAAAGGCAATGTAAATGTAAACAGGCTGTGGCAGGGCAGTACTAAAATAAATTAGTGACACCTACCACCCTGGATGGCCAGCCTACTAGCTCACCGGGGACATAGCATTAAAGCCCTTTCACAACCCTAGGTTAGAATTTGGCACCGTTGGACAGCACTCTGATGACCAGCTTAAAGAAAGCTGACTTAAAATCAGCTGCAGATTCATTGCCCCATAGTTGCAGCTGACAAAAGATTGGAGAGAAAGGAATCTTTAGCTGGAGGGATAACAAATCAGTCATCAGTTAAGGAGCTCCGTTCAAAAGCAGTTTCAATTTAATTTCCTGATTTCTGCTTAACCACAATTAATATTCTGCAAGCAAGTCTGGTTGAATGACTTTAAGACATAAAGAATAAAAATATGACAGGGACTTATTTTAAGACACTGGCAAACAAGGACACAGCACCATATTTTGGAGAATTGATTCAGGGTGCTACAGAGTGATTGTATTTTTGCCTCACAGGAACCGAAAGCCAGTTCCCAAGAAAGCTATGTTTTCCATCTGCCCTTATTTGGCTCTGCCCTCTGGGATGAATCTATAGATGGAGTTTCTAGGCTCTCAGAAGCTGAGAGCATCTCCAGTCTCTCAATTGAGTCCATTGTTCTTAGCTCTCCCACACACCATAAACCTCCTTTTTTCTAACTGAAAGAGCTCTCTTTGTGCTTAGATCAGCCAAAGATCAAGATGCAGCAGTATAAACAAGAAACATTTTCTTACAGCACCAGTTGTATTGCTTTTCCTATCTTCAGGGTCAGTACTGAGTGTAGTTATGCAGGATGTGGAAGGTGCAGCTTTGTCCAGAGCAACATTTGTTCATTCCTTAATTCCTTCTGTGAACATTCATTGAGAAACTACTAAGTACTGTGTTAAACCCCAGGAAGTTCAAGTTTGGGGTCGGTATGGGTAGAAAGGTGATCAAGACCAGATCTTACACTCAAGGATCTCTCTCAGATTCAGCCATAGCAGAGAGGTCTCCCAGGGTAAACTGGAGTGGAGGCAAGGAGTGTGCAGTCTGACCGGCTGACTGCAGTGGGCATCTGAATTCTCCCCTCAGTATGTGGGAGAGGTGGGTGTTAAGGGCCTTGACTTCACGTGGCTCTGGGTTTTTAGGGCACTGATACAAACAAAACTTCAATTTAGAGTCCTGACAACTTGTGACTTGCTCTTTCTATGTCACCCTGCTTCTTGCCTTACATGTGACAGCATTTATGCACACACTGTCACAATGCATGTGCGTGCTTCCACCCACTCAATCATTTGGGGAGTCAGAGGGCACATGAATCAAGATTTACATAAACACAGGCTATTCAGCCTGGCCTTTTGTCTCTATCCAGGCTAAATCTGAGAAGCCAAGGAAGGGTAATGTAAGATACAACATATCAAAACTGCACTTGTACCCCCTAAATTTATACAACGACAACAAAAAAGATAACAAGTCTTTCTCTGTTTGGATTTCCTTAATTGTGAACACAGGTAGTGTGTCTATTTTTTTTTGTCTTTTTCTTTTTCTTTTAATTGAGACGGAGTCTCCCTCTGTCGCCCAAGCTGGAGTGCAGTGGCGCGATCTCGGCTCACTGCAAGCTCCGCCTCCCAGGTTCACGCCATTCTCCTGCCTCAGCCTCCCGTGTAGCTGGGACTACAGGTGCCCGCCACCGCACCTGGCTAATTTTTTGTATTTTCACTAGAGACGGGGTTTCACCGTGTTAGCCAGGATGGTCTCGATCTCCTGACCTCGTGATCCGCCCGTCTCGGCCTCCCAAAGTGCTGGGATTACAGGCGTGAGCAGTGTGTCTATTTTGACATTAACAGCTAACTTCATGAATATTAAGTAACAAAAGAAATACTCATAATTATATTTACAAAATCAATACTTGGCTATTCCTACATCAATAAGCAGGTAAGGACTTCAAGTCAATATTTATACATTGGGAAAGATTTTCCTTGTTCACTCACTTATTTGAAAGAAGCAAACATGCTCTTCATTATATTTGTTGTCCCACAAAGTTTGGTGTCTATGTGCTCCTGTTCTGGGACTCCCTGAATTGACTGACTTTATTCTACAGGAAAATATCAGATAAGGTCATGAGTGTTTTACTGATCATGGATCAGTCCAAGGAAATCCAGTCTTAACATTTTACCCAAACTCCCAAAAAATACTTATTTGATAAATTATCTGTGTCAAGTGTTATGCTAAGTGTTTGTGGTATAGCAGTTAATAAAAGAGATACAGTCTCAGCCCTCACGGAGTTCAACTAAAGACAGAAAGGGGTAGGAAGGGAGACAGGGAGCATGGTGAAGAATGAGGCTAACATCCTTCCACAGAAACAGTGGAAAAGATAGAATCAGGGAGAAACTTGCACAGTCCCATGAGAAACAAAGAGTCATTAAAAAAAAAAAGATATAGACATGCAAGTCTGTATTTAGATAAATGCAATGGTATTTAAGATTGGAAAACATTAAATAGGCTTGGACTGTTTTGTTCCCCAATGTGGAAAGTGACTCAGCTCTAGGTTCCAAAGGAACTAGCTTCGTGGATCTATATATTATGTGAAACCCCACCTTTCAAGCATCAAAGGGGCAAAATACAAAGCTGATTCTGAGGGTTGCAATATTAAAACCAAACAAGCCAACTGATATTTGAAAGTGTATAGATGGTTTTAATTCTAGTTGATGATGAATTCGCATGTAGACCAACTTTAAAAAACAACAGGGAAATGTGGCTCTTGCAATCAAAGCTTCCTTCCATGTCCCCAACATGTACCAGATAGAAATTTGGTGACATCTCATTTGACTTAAAATATGAAATCTGCCCACATTATCAAATAAAAGTGAACAGAAACATAAAAATTATCCTATATGCAAATGATATTATTTTCAGAAGCTCAGAGTGGTCTTAGCAAACAAATGGCTCAGCTAATTACTGCTAGGAAGAAAGTATACATATCAGCTTTCCTAAAAATAAATTTGTCATTTTCAGTAGATGTTCCCACCTTCTTGTTGGTGAATAGTGTGAGTAATTCCATAAAGCAGGTACTTCAGGATATATTCTGCAGCTGGCTTATCTGAAAGGACAAAAGTAAATTACGTTTCTCAAAGCCAGGTAATATATGGGTGCTTATGGAATTTCTACACATGTGTTGTTGTTTGTTTGTCTTTAATAGCTTAGCGGGTTACAACTACTTTAAAGTATTTCCAGGTTAAAAAATTTTAAGTCATGCTTTATGCCCTATTTGTCTTGGTGTTAAAGAAGATTCAAAATAATTGTCTGGGAAGGGCGTGGTGGCTCATGCTTGTCATCCCAGCACTTTGGGAGGCCAAAGAGGGCATATCACTTGAGCTTGAGGTCAGGAGTTTAGTTTTGCCATGGCCAACGTCGCAAAACTAAAAATACAAAAATTAGCCAGGCATGGTGGTTCAAGCCTATAATTCCAGCTACTCAGGAGGCTGAGGAACAAGAATGCTTGAGCCTGGGAGGCAGAGGTTGCAGAGTGCTGAGATTGTGCCACTGCACTCCAGTCTGGGCAACAGAGGGAGACCCTCAGTAGTAATAATAATAATAATAATAATAATAATAATTGCCTGAAGAGAATCTTGGTCAGGACTGTAGGCAGCCTTACCTCCAACAATAATAGCTGCACTTTATCAAGCACTGTATCTGCAAAGTACGTTACACATCTTATCTCATTTCATCG